TGTATGCATATATATGTATGTGATCAGAGTTCGCTGCCTTTGGAGTTAATACTATCTTGACTGTGTCGGAGAAACCATTAAATCACTGCTGCTCAGACGGAAAACTTTCTCATTTTCCTGCTCTGCTGCGTTTTGTTGTAAACTTGGGTACAGATTGTATGTATATTAGGTAGGTAATTTTGCTAAAATTTACTTCTCACTAAAATCAATGTGTGAAGATTAGCAGCTGAGCTTCTGACATAATTTTGGTTAGTTTTGTGAAATGAAGTTATGTGGAGCACAAAATCAAAGTGGGCCAAGAACGATGCGCCATTTCGTTTTTTAACCAATTTGAAAATTTTTAAATATATTTACCAATTATTTCAAATTTTCGATTATTCTTATCTTATCGATAAACTTATTATTACATTATCTAACCAAATTGAAAAATATATTTATGGATTTTTTTAAATTTTCGATTATTCTTAACTTATCGATTAACTTATTATTACATTATCTGACCCAATTGAAAATTTTTTAAATATATTTTCGATTATTGTTCATTTACAGATTATCTATGTTTCGGTACGGTTATGATTCCTATATTTTTGATCTTTTATCTTATCGATTATTTTAAATTTTCGATTACACTGAACTTATCCGTTCAATTAAAATCTCGATTGTTCGATTAATGCAGTGCATCACGTGAAAAACGAATCACAAAGTTAAAATCTAAAAATAAGAATTATCGATAAACAAAATTTATCACACAAAAAATCGATAACGAAATACCGTAGCTAAAGATATCAGAGGTAAATAAAATATATATAGAGATATATAAAACTTTCGATAAAATAAAATTAAACAAAAAAAAAAACGATATTTTTATTCAGCTTTCATTTCTTTAATTATCGATTATTTTTTATATTTAAGAATTATTGCCATTAATTAAATACACATATTTGAAAATTCGATAAAATTTGTAAAACACGTATTCATGGACTTTCAGGCATTAGAATAATCTCATTTTTTTAGAATTTTATTGCTTCTAATTTATTTTATATCGATAAGTTTTCACTAATGAATTGCATACAAGTTATCGATAACTTTCCTTAATATATATTCTTCTTATTAATTGTTATGGTTATAAAAGATTATTTTAATTTTGAGTCATACAACTCTGCCCTTTCTAAAATTTTAATTTGTCGACCATTTTTCTCTTATTCTGACTTAATCGGAACTATGAAGTTTTTTAGTGCTACACTCATCGATTGCGAAGAACTCGGCGTTCACTGACAACTGTTTATAGACTTCCCCGTTAGTGAAATTTTTCATCACTCCTTGATAGCTTTTGCTTCGATAAATCTGTTGATAATTAAATTAATTATCGATTGCAGTTTGTACGAGCGTACAAATATCTCTTAGAGAGAATTTATCGTTTACTAATTTTTAATGATGTTTGTATTATTATCTATTTCTTTTTGCATTCATCGAAAGCTGTAATGGCTGTTTGTCATCAAAAAAATTTCTTCTATCATGAACCAATTATAGCTTACCTTCATCGTTTAACCAAATTATTTGACAATATCAAACGCGAACCCGTCTCTATGTAAGTGATTATTTCACTATCGATTATATTATTAACCCAAAGGCTTTTAAATATTTTCTGTAAATTATAAGTCTCAAAGAAACGCTTTAATAGATTTTTCGATTGCATAATTCATAGGTACATAAACTAAATTAAAAAAGATTGACAAATTTCCATTCTACTTTACAGATTTTTGTTTTTGCTTTTGTAGGCCTATATAAGTCACTTCATAAATTTAAGCGGCAAATTATAAGTAAAATGAAAGTTTTTCGGAATTTACTTATGTATATGACGTTACTTCATTATTGGAGCTACTTTTATAACTTTACATATGTGCATTTGTATTAAAACTATTTTTAAAATAAAAACTAAATAAAAATTAGAGTAAAATATGACATTTTGCCGACATTAAGGCGTGTAACCTCAGAATAAACTAGAGAATATTCCTTCTCATGTTTCCTTATTTCAACCTAAAATATTGCATAATTTTACTAATAACCATTTGGTCTTTAGGCTTCGATCCGAATTTTGATGCCTACATTTAGGCGAAAGTATTTCAGTTATCTCTTAAATGCTTTACGTAATGGTTTTTTAAACCTCAAGAAAATCATGCCTGAATAAATAATAAATTTTTAACTTTCTTCGCCTTAATGCTTCCGTTAAAAAAAATATTTTCATTGAGCAGCATTGGGGAGGCATAGCTAAGTACACGCACAGAAACACATACAACCACACAGCTATTATTTGCCTGACTGTCATACTTCAAAGCGCAAAGTAAATAAATCACAAACACTGTGCCAAAAGTTTTTCAAACACCTACTTTGAGTCTGTCTTACTCTTCTTTATTTTTCATTCTTTTTCTTTATTCTTCCGCCTCTACGCTTTTATTTTACTTATACTCTCACTTTTGCTTTCTCTACTTGTAGAACTTAATTGCACAGCATTTGCAGCTTTACTTTTGACGACTTTGTCTTACTTGCAGTTTGCACACACATACACAAATGCACACTCATACTACATATCACTTCACATAAGTCCGCACTTTGTCTGTACGAAGAGAAAACACTCACTATGCTGTCCCAGGCACTTTTCCCATTCAAACTCGATGCAGAACGGCAATTTGCCACTGAAATAACAACAGATAGGGAGAACATATGTTTTTCTTCCGCATTCATATTTGTGTGTATGTGTGTGTGTATGATCGTCTCTCTTGACATAAAGTAAAGAAGAAAATATTTTTCTTTTTCGTAAATGAAGAATGAAGGATTTGTTTGAGACTTTAAAGTGGAAAGCAAATCAGTGAGTGGAGAATAAGACTGCATTACATCAGTTAACGGTACATGGCTGGTTCGCTTGTGGTAACTAATTATGAATATATGACATACTAATGAGTTTTAAGAAGATAGCCGGTCCTCTATTCAGAATGATCAGTGGCCTTTCAAACCCTCTTATCCATTCCCTTCATTCGAAGAGAATCGTTTTCTACTTTTCAAACCCTTTTTCCTACGTCAATGACGATTATCCATTTAACACTTCGGCCATGGAATAGCTTCTTAGTCCGAGACTAGCTTAGGCTGCTCCGAGGATGAGGATTTAGATAGAAAAAGAGAGAAGACGAGCTGACGACCAAGTTGGTAAAGAGAGTGAGATTAAAGTTGTGCTTGAGGTTGAGGGGGAAGTTAAGGTAGAGATTCAGATTGAGATTGAGATTGAGATTAAGATTAAGATTGAGATTAAGATTGAGATTAAGATTGAGATTAAGATTGAGATTGAGATTGATATTGAAATTGAGATTGAGGTTGAGATTGAGATTAAGATTGAGATTAAGATTGAGATTAAGATTGAGATTAAGATTGAGATTGAGATTGATATTGAAATTGAGATTGATATTGAAATTGAGATTGAGATTGAGATTGATATTGAGATTGAGACTGTGGTTGTGGTTTATGTTGAGCGTCAGTCTGAGTTGAAGTTGAGACTCACGTTAAAGTTAAAGGGGAAGTAAAACTTTAAAACGTGAACGTGAAACTTTAAAAACGAGTATGAGTAATAATTGTTCTTAAAACAAACGCATTTTAAAGTTTCAATTCATACTTAAGTAGAAGCAAGCAAGAAAACCGAACCGAGCCGAATTTACCAAATTAATATGCAAATTTGTCAACAAGACTCCCTGCGGAGTGCATTTGACTTCCGACACGCCGTCCACAACTGGCAGAAACTACAAGGGTTCGCTTGGCACTGGCTCGGTCAATCGTTGCAAGCACTTTCAGAGCAACCCACACACACGCACAGCGCACATTAATCAAACGCTGTAATGCACATACATATATACACATGTATATCTGCGATTGGGGGACCACACACGCGCTTCCTGGTGCATATGACGTATGCAAATTCCCTGCAATATTGTTTTTTCCTCAAACAGCACCACATCGGGGCTTGGTTTGCCTGCGAAATGAACGGAATTCATCATCGTCAGTCAGTCAGTCAGTCAGTCTGCATACGCAATGTCCTCGTAGCTTGGCAGCTTTGGTATCTTCCGCGCGGCAGCCATAACTGTCAAGCGAGCGTATGTGTGGACGGACAGACAGCACACAAGCGTAAGCCTCATTTTGTTGCACTCGTAAGCTTCAAGTAGTGGTTCTACTAGTTGGTGGGTTGTCGTAAGCTTTATCGCCGCCACTCGCGTGGCGTATGAAATGTAGTTTTTGTGCTTTTTTTTACTTTTTTTACTGGCTTTTGGCGTTAACGTCTAGTTTGCTCAACATTGACTGCAAGCAGTGACGCGTTAAATTTATTGCCGCAAACTTGTGCATTCGTATTGAGCAAACACATACACACACAACCCCTATAGAATGTAACTGTTATGAAAATGGCATCAAATTGAAATGCACTCATACACACGCACACACTATACCACTTGTGTTCTCAACTGTTAACACACACACACACACTCTGCCTCTATCTATCTCTCTCTCTCTCTGTCGTGTTGAGTGTTCGGCTGTCAAATAAATTATTTTTGATTGCGCTGTCACTACTACAAACATACTCAGGCGGTGTTTTATTGTTCTATTTTCTTTGTGTGAACTTTTTTATCATTTTTTTCTGTTTTTGCAATCAAAATCCCACGCTTTAGCAATTTATTCAACTTTTTCACACTACTTTCCGCTTTTACATTTTCCCTCTACTCTCCTCTCCGCTCAGCGTTTTACATAACTTTGATTTATTAAATTCCAAAATGAATACTTCAAAGCCATTATTGTTGTTATCATCGTCAGAATATTTTCTTTTTTCTCGAAAACAGCCGCAAATGCTGCATTTAATTTGCATTTACTCACATCATAAATTATGCAATGCGTGAATATGAAAATTTCAGCGGACATAAACAGTTTAGTCCTGAAATTAACATAAATGTACATATGTACATACATACCTAATGGCTACAGCTCTTGATTGTATGTTTATGTGTGCTGGGAAAGTTAATATGCCTGCAAGAGAAAAAAGGAGAGAAAAATTTATTAAATTTAATGGCAATGCTTAAATCATTTTCCAAGCTCATCACTATTGTAGTGTGCACATTGCATTGAAATTTATAAAAATAATTGAATATTAAAGTTTTTTAATAATGTGTTTAATATGAGTTTTAATGCGTTTTTATGAGTTTATATGTATGTACATACAAGATATAATTGGTGCTTTGTAACCGCTAAAGTGAGCTTCGGCCGAGCTTCGACACTAAATTTTGGTGCTTTTTTATGGTTTTCCTACAAATAAAAGGACTTACAGTTGAATGTAAGCCGCCTCTGAATTTGTATGATGAACTTTAATTTCACATCAGACATGCACTAGGAGATGCTCGTATTGCAAAAGTCTGTTAAACAGACAGAGGCTGTCCGTTTACTTTTTTATATTTCATTACATTGGCGTTATCCTTATCCTTATCCTTATCCTTATCCTTATCCTTATCCTTATCCTTATCCTTATCCTTATCCTTATCCTTATCCTTATCCTTATCCTTATCATTATCCTTATCCTTATCCTTATTCTTATCCTTATCCTTTTCCTTATCCTTATCCTTATCCTTTGAGCCTTAAATACCGTTAAAAAATAAAAAAAGGTTCTAAACTTTTTTTTATCAACTCTCTGCCGGAAATTGTTTTGAAAGTGATTTGTGAACAACGTCGCTCAACAAACTCGTCCTAGTATATGGCGCAGGGGCGTGTAGGATGTCTACAACTGATGAGTCGGTGTTGGGAGTCTTCGGGAGAACAGTTTTGCAAACGATTTATGGTCCTTTGCACATTGAGATATATAACGACATTGAAACAGTTCAGCGAATCAATAATCAGCGGTTGGGTTGGCTAGGTCATATGGCATACTACAGCTTTGAGAGTTTTCGATGCAGTACCCGCCGGTGGAAGCACAGAAAGAGAAGACCTCCACTCCGAAAAGAAGGACTAGGTAGAGGGGGACGGCGCTATGTTATTAATTCGACAATTATCGCATAAGCGGTGTATTTTCCAGTAAAGAAGAAGAAGAGGACTGTGTTTTACACGCCGAATGATTCATTTGGCTTACCTCGAGACATTCATATGGACATTTTCTTGAAAGACTTTGAGCGGCAGAGAAGTGATCCACACATACAAATAAGTAACAAGCACAGTAATATAATACAAAACTTAGCAATTTGACTTATATGATGCCCAATTAGGGGTTTTCCATCTTTCATTGCAATAAAAAATAAGTAAAAAAGTTTGTAAAATACGGTAAGCCAAGGAAATGAGTGTCCGACTGCGGTCTGTGTTCAACAATCGGCAGGGCATCGTCATCACTTCGAGTGAATTGCTAAAAACGAAGACTCAAAATGGTAAAACAAGACGAAAGGACACAAAACACGTGCTACGGAAGTAGTTTGTATGGTTCTTTATCTCCCTATATTACAAATATCCTTTATATAGATTACTAGAAAATTGATTTGTAACTTTTTGAACGAAAATCTTCTTGGTAAATTAAAACGTAAATTTGTAGTTTCTAAAGAGCATTTTTTTTATTAATAGTCAGTGACAGCAGCGGTTTTTCTCGAAATTAGTGACAGTAAAGTCTCAACCTGACGCAATAATTAAGGCAACAGGAAATGTCAAATTCAAGGAATTTTTATTGGCCACTGACCGACACACACCCCCCCATCTCCACAACCCCACCAGTGTGCTAATTGAATTGATTTATACGATGAAATTTGCCAAATTCAGCTGCACAATTGCATTGGATGGACCGTTTCGCAAAAACCTTAGTTTTACGGTAAATCCTTTTTAGGCTGTCTGATTAAAAAAAAACAAAAACAAAAACTCGTGTGAAAACCGCATGAAATTCACTTAATTTCTGACACTGTGACACCGGCATGCTGCTGCTGCGGCTAACCGCTACAGAACAGCGTAGAAAAAACAAGTAGTCAAAGAGAGACAGAGAGAGAGAGAGAGAGGGGGAGAGTAGGTAACAACAATAAAAACATCTCGATTACAATTTGTCGTGGGTAGAGTGGGCGAGCTGGAAAAGCATTGTATTTGTGAGACCCCCACTTTTCGTTGTTTTACTTGTTGTTTATTTGCGTTTGTTGTTGTTGTTGCTCATTTAGTGTTGTTGTTGTTGTTTGCCACATGGCAACGCCAATGACTGATGACAGAGCAAATTGCAATTAGGCTCAATAATACCCGAGATAAATGGAAATTTGTGTTGCCACTTGTGTTGCAACATATATACATACATATGTGCTGTTGTTCTTGTTGTTGTCATTTTGTTTTGTTTGCTGCTACTTGTCGTTTGCCGTTTGTTGTTCGCCAAAATCCCCTTAGTCCGCTAAAAACCTTTTGGGTTAAACGTATTTACGTTCTCAATATGTGTGTTGGGTTTGAAGCCATTTGCAGTTCATGTTGTTATTGTTATTATTGTTGTATTGTTGTTGTTGCCGCTAGATAGCTGCAGCACGCCACATACGCCACATAAGCCACATGTCAACAGTGCCGAGTTAATTAAGAGGTAAACAAAGTGAAATACGCAAATTACTGTTGTTGTTGTTGTTGCTGATTTTATATACTAATATGTATTTGCATGTTTGTATGTATTGTGTCTACGCCTGCTGCGCTTGTTTGCCACAAAATCAAGTGCCACCACGAACGGTTTCGCTGTCAATATTGGTCACATTGGTCGATATTGGTTATTGTTGTTGTTGCTGTTGTTTTTGCTGGTTATCCACATTAGTTGCCACAACTGCCACGCCACACCTTTTCGAAATCCGTTGCATACACGGCACACACACACACACATACAAACACACGCACACACACCTCTCTGACAATGATGTTGCAACATTCAAATTGGCTTCTGCTCTTCTTCTGTGCTCTTCTGTTCTTTTTATTGCAATAGCGGTTTCTGCGGTTACTCGCATTGCGCACAGCGTGTAGATGACATAGTGTATGCAAATAATACAATGCATCTACATACATAGTAGATATCCTTCTACCACAAGCCGGGTTTCGGTTGCTTGCCCCGCTCAGGCGCATCAATTACAAGTGGCTGAGCGCAATCAATGGATATCGCAATGAAAGTGTCTATTTTGGTGGCAAGCATGGTGAGGTTAGCTTTCGCTTTGTTGTATGCATACACACCTACACATACACATTCAATATGTGTGGATATCAAGCGCTATATCCTTGTGGGCTTGACTGTGTTGGCCCTGAATGCTTTTTTGACGTTTAACATTTCACTAAATTTCAATCAAATTCGATTTTATGCCTGTCACTATACATACATATATATGCAAACACACATTTAACCATAGTTGATTGCGCGCTTGCAACATTCGCGGACACATTGCTGGCAAACTTGGGTGTCGCGCTCTGTGTGTACCTCCCCTAAGTGCACTCAGCGACTATTCCTTTGAAATATATTATACGCTCTCATATCGCAAATGTCGTGCTCGAGAAGAACAAGGTCGACGCGAAGTGAATATTTTATATTAAATTTATCGCGCTTTTTAGTTTTTTAGATACTAAAAAAAGGTATTAAAATTTGTGAAAAGTGGCAACGTTGCCTCAGAAAAATCATAAAAAACAAATAAAGTTTCCGTAAACTTTCTTAAACCGGTTCTATTGAATACTGGAATATTTGTTAAAATAAATTATAAATTCTTATTCTTCTTTAGTGGCGTAGAAACTGCTGAGTTAACAACATTGCTTCATTCATTCCTTCTTTTCGCTATTTTCGCTATACCAAGTGCAGCCACGTGCTGCTCTAACTGGTCTTTGCTTACGAAGTGGAGGTCTCCCGCTTCTCCTGCTTCCATCGGCGGCTACAGCAACGGAAAATTTCAAAGCTAGAGTACTGAACTGTTTCTTTGCTGACACTGGATATTTGGCCTTGTCCACCGTCGCTGCTAGAGTCTTTCGTGTCACTTCATGTTCCAGATAGAAAAGGCAGAACGTTGGCTGAGGCCAATGTTTATGATATTTTTAAAGACAAATCGCCCACGAATTTCTAGTTAATGAGAATTATGATTTGGGTGGCTGTAGCCCATCATTTGACACATTATATGCGCTCTACGTTCTTGGAATGGGCGCAGAGGTCAATAAAACTCTGTTCGTCAGGCATAGTCTCAGCTGATCATATTTTCCAAAGAGCCTTCTGGGTACACCTCATCACCGCTGTGATATTCCTTAGACGAGCAATCGCAATTCGTACTTCGTTATGGCAGAGTGATTGAGCATCAACTACATGGTCATCCATTGTGGGTTCGAGTTTGGCAACTCAAGATGATTCATTTCACTACAATAAAAGAGCTTAAAAAGTATTGCTTCCAATAACCAGGTGTACTCTGAACATCGGTCATTACGTAGATCTCCTTTTTGGTTCGTACATGAGTAAACGCCGGTCTTGATACCTTCTGTAAGTCACCAGACTCCCGAGCTCTATAATATTACCCATATTTACCTACTTCTTTCTCTCTCTACAAAATGCGTCTTCCCTACAACTCCCGGTGTCAGTACCATTAAATTGCAGCGTGCTACGACAGGCATTATCCCTTTTGTAGTTCAATATTCCTCATCGTACCAGCTATATTCTTTGAATACCGTTCTGCAGTCCACTTTAACCCAGTTTCTGATGAGTGTACTCAGACAGCAAGCGTGTAAGTCGAGTAGAAACCCGACTGGATTTCGCTTTTGATGGCAGCCTTGCCGTCCGCTTGTCCTTGTGCCAAGATAGAAAAATAGTGACTCGGGCCAATTTTAGGTTCCCGAAAATTAGTGCAGATCCAGACCACTGCTGACATATTCCTATCTTCCATCTCGCAAATGATAAACTTGGTTGTGCGAATTTTGAATCGGCGTCAGCCAAGAGGCTTGCTGTAAATTTCTGGCGCAGAGATTTGACTTCGTGTTTCAGCTGTAAAGTTGCCTCTCCTAGCTTTGGTTGGGTCCAAGCTGGAATTTTGTAT